AAGATTATCCACCCAGCTTGCACCTTCTCAAACTCACAGTTGCCTGGTTTCTCTTTAAACCTTGAAAAGTTACAGAGCATCATGCCCAGAAGCAATGAATTTATCTGAGAACTTATGATACCCACAGCAAAGAGCTTGTGACAAATGACAGCACACCAGACCCTTAGGCCTCCCTATTATCTCAGAAATTAATACCATCCCGATGACGACATTCCCTGGCAAGGCAGTGGCCAGAGAGCCAAGATGCTTCTGGACACTGCAGAATGACAAGTGGCCAAGAAACTTAAAGGGAAAAGCATTTAGCACAGGTTTCTTCCAAGAGGAGTGAATTCTGCTGCTTTTAAATCTCCGAAGTTCTACCAGTGATAGAGAAAGAAAAATTATTTTGAAAAATACTGCCCAAAAGCTAGTCACAGACATCAACAGAGAGGGTCTTAGGTGTCTTCAGTAAGCACTTAACAAGATGAGAGTTAAAAATAAATCCCCAAACTCTACGTTGATCAGCAGAGGGAAGCAGCACAATCTGCTACTGAGCTGTATCAACAGAAGAGCCCTCGAGGGACACAATCATATCAAGAAAAATATGCTTTGATGGGTATGTCTGGCTTTGCCCGTGGATGAGTGCAGTACAGTAGTGAAAAGACAGCTTGCTTGAACACACCTCATAGTTTATCTTGATTGTGTTTGTGGTGTCACAAATGTCAAGAAGGACTGCAAATAAAACCAGTTCCTTTCTGTAGTCTGACTTTCCCCATGTCTCAACAATAACTTTAATAGACTGAGGGAATAAATAGTTACTTTGTTGCCATACTTTTTGGTACTCTACTCCCAGACATGTCTCCAGAGACAAGACTCCTTGTGGAACCAAGGTCACAGACATCAGCAGTCTTGTGTTTCCTCTTCACTTTCTTCTTTTTCTTTCTCTTCTCTTTCCTTCTCCACCAAATAAGGAATTATCTCACATGTCTGCAACCTCTAAAGAGTCAGGAAAAAACAAAAACAAAGAGGGCTTTACCCCGAAGAGGGGGGAAGAGAATTAAATCACTATGCCTTTGAACACATACCCTCACCTCTGTAACTCCCAGTGACATGAAGGATCCAATCTTCACATCTGCGAACCAAAAGAAGCCTGGGCTCTGCCTCCATGTATGTAACTTAAATACACAGCCCAGACAGGTCTGGGTCTGAAAGAAGACAGAGGATCTCTTCCAGGGCAGATGTAACACTATTAATCCAAAACCCACACTAGTTACCCACACCTGCCATATCCCCTACAACCACAGGTAACTGGCACTATCAACCAGTGTGCCTGTGCAGTCACACTGCTGACACATCAAATTTAAATATAAATAAATATAAAAGCCTCCTAGTCACTTTTCTGCCCTGGGACACCTTCTTTCTCTTACAGTTACTAATATCTCTAACAAAACACTGACCTTCACAAGGCCACCTACCCTCTGCAGTGTCCAGGAGCTGTTTCTGGAGGAAGGAAAAAAAAAAAAAAAATTGCTTAAGTATCCAAGGAACTCTTCTACTGGCACTTCATATATTTAACCACCTCTCAGGGCAATAAATGCCATAGGCATTCAAAAGTGCCCTCCACCTCTCTGCACTCGTGACCAAATCAAGATAGCTTCTGAGAGAAGCCCTGAGTCACCAAATGCTCCCAGTGCAAACTGGCCGAGAGCAACAAAGCTGGGCTGCGGGTGGGCGAGGACTGCTCTCCTCCTCCCTGGGAAAGGGAGAGAGAGGGATGTTAATGGGAAGTCGCTTCACTGAATTCTAACTCTAGTAACAGATTTCCTCTTGCGTCAGACATGTTCATGCTTTATGATGTGTCTGCAGCAATTCGGGTCAGACTCATCAAACCGGGGGTCCGAGGCAGGGACTGTTCCTTTGGTCATGTTTACAGAAAATACAGCAGGACTCGCTAAGCTGAGAGGGAGGTGATAAAAACCTCAGAGAAAAATCCTCACAGAATTACTGAAAAATATTCGACAGAGACGCACCCTAGGCATCTGATCTATCAAGTATCTTATGAGAATGAAGGCAAATCATATATCCAGCTTCCTGACAGTGACTGGGGATGGATGACAGAAAAATAAACACCTTCTGGGACAAAGCCAGCTACAAAGGAGGCACAGGGACGGTCAAGGGAGCAGCCGTGCTCCCCGATGACAGCCTGACAAGTCACAGAACTTACTCTGCCGCATGTTTCTGCACACACACACACGGTTTAGTCCCTTCGCGTTTGGAAACCGCTCTGAGGATGGAGCGAAGTCAAAAGCAGTTCGTCACCATCGCAGCCGTCCTGGCTCCCCCCTCCCCGGGGCAGCACAGGGAGCACAACCCACCGCGTGAAGCAAGTGTCCCCTGCTGTCACACGGCCCAGGCGAGGCTGCTCCAGCCCCGGGGAGAGCGACCTGGGGGCGAGTCGCCTCGCTCGCCACCCTCCTGCAGACCGGAGGGCAGCCGGAGCAGCTCAGGAGCTGGCCGGGCTCCGTCGGTGGAGCAGTTTTGCCTTAACGCACCCAAATTTTGCAATTTTGCGCTGACCCTTGCCACAGAAGCGCACCCCTGGGCTGCCTTCCCCCTCGCTTCAGCCACCCCGACCCGGGCTTGCTACAGCCCGACCCGCTCCCGCCGTCCGTCCCCGCGATGAGCCGTCACGAGGGGAAGCGAGACGCGACGGTGTAACACGAAAACGCGTTTCCTTCCTTCGGGCCCACAGCCCGGCACCGCCAGCACCCACGGCAGCTCGGGGCCCAAAACGCCGAGTTTTA